CCCTGGATCGAGTCCCGCATCGGGCTCCCTGCTCGGCAGGGAGTCTGCTTCTCCCTCTGACCCTCCCTGCTCTCATGTGCTCTCTCTCATTCTCTCTCAAATAAATAAGTAAAATCTTTAAAGATAAATAAATAAAATATTATAACAGCAAAAACAAAAACTTTTGGGAAATGTATTGGTATGAAATTGCTTTCAAAGGGGCAAGAAGGGACTTTTTACTAATAACTCTGTGTTCATACCGTTGCAGTAGCATAAAAAGAAAACAATGGACTACCCATGACGGAGAATGAACTTGTTCAGCAGCCACATGAGAGTGAATCAACACCTGTCAAGGTGCCAGTGCCGAAGTGAGACCATGACCTTCATTCAAGCCACCCCAAGATTTTCACAAATGGAAAAAATTATCTATTTTTGGCAGCTCCAAAAAAAGGATGAAATGAAAGCAGATGTAAGGATTACTTGTGACCTCACTTTACTAAAACTCGTACATTGTGAAATTAGAGAAAAAGCCAATCACGCTTTTCTGTAGACAAATTCAATAAATACCTGTTTCATAGGAATGTGTAGCTCTTTATATTAGTAAAGTTAGAAACCATCTCTCCCCTTTGAGAATGAGCAGGAAACCAGTTTGGCAGGATTCACCTGACCCAACATCTGGGTGAGGTCAAGATCTCCGGGACCACACGGCAAGAAGCTCAGAGAGCTGAACTGAACCGACATCTAACCCAGGCTCGCAGTGATTCCTTACCCGAGCAGAACAATGTTCTTCCTCTTACCTCCACGTCGTCATAATGGGGTGGGAGGCCCTGGGATCCTGCAGGGGTTATGTATACATTCGAGCCAACCAAGGAGCCAAAGTAGCATTCTAGCTTCTCCTGGATCCTCCAAAGCTCATCCTTAAAAAGAAAGGAAGGAAGGAAGGTGGGAGAAGAGGTGAAAAATATGTCAGAAACAAGAGGAAGAACATGTTCTTATTCACTTAGCCAGTCTTTACTGCACAGCTCTTATGTTCCAGATACCCAAGAATTCAGCAGTTAAAGAGCCAACACCTCTGCCCTCAAGAATCTTCCACCCTAGTGCAGAACACTACAGAAAACCGAGCAATTAGCAAGGCAGGCAATCAGGAGTCACGCAGGATTTTAAGCACGGCAATGACACGATCTAATGTACATTTCTGACAGCTTACTCTGGTTACTGTGTGGAGAGTGGCCTGGAGAAAAGCAAGAGACATCAGTCGGGAGCTACTAAGGCAGCAGCCCAGGCGGGAGATGAGCAGGGTGGTGAGGGAGAAGGAGAGGCAGAGATGCACCCTGGAAGCGCCATGGGCTGTGGGGGACCAAGTAGGACAGGGTGCGGGAGGGGAAGGGGATTAAAAGCCTCCTGGCTTTGGCTGGGCAGTTAGTGCCTGGTTCACCCTACTAAAGTGGGAAAGACTTGTTAAAGAACAAGGGTTTTTTTTGCAGGGAGGGGGGTGTAGGTGTGTGTGCAGGGAGAGTTCTACAGTAGTTCATGAGAGAGAGAGAGAGAGAGAGAATATGAATGATTTTCCCAAGTGGATAAGGAGAGGGGAGGTAGCAGTTAGGCCAGGCGGATATTAGCACTTCTTCTCCGCCAGGCCGTCTCTAAGTGCTTTACGTATACTGGTTCTATAACCCTCCCAACAACCCTGTCCTGTAAGGAGAGCAATACCGTAATGTCCGGTTCACAGATGAGGACACTGAAGCACGAGAACACACGGCTAATATATGACGGAGCCAGGACTGAAATCCAGGCAGCCTGGCTTGCGCCCTTTAGCCGTGGCCCTATACTGCCCCTTTAGGAATCATCTTAAAGAAAACACAAATCAAAAAAAAAACACACAAAAAACAAACAAACAAACAAAAATAAATAAATAAATAAATAAAATCTTTAAAAAATAAATAAATAAAAATAAAAACCTTTAAAAAAAAAAAAAAAAAGAAAACACAAATCACTTACGAGGACACTAACGGATACTGAAGACATTCAGTCTCAAGCATGAATGTACAGTGCCCGGCACACACAAGACACTCAAATGCATTTTTAAAAATTTGGTGAGTCAACCAATGACCACAGCTTGAGAGTCAATCCTACCATTTGACTGAAAAAGGATCTACAGTATTAAAAGTATCAAGTGGGAAAGAGTTAGGTCAGTATGAAAAAAGCTTTGGGAGACATCTTTAGGAAGATGACTGGGCTACTCTATTTATAGATCAAGGGTTCTACTTAACAGAGGAAGAATAATTTAATGGCTTCTGAATAGCTCCAAAGAGTTAAGAGAGCTCTCAAAGCACCTAATTTATACCAGGGAAGGGCCAGCAGGACCTGGCTCTGTAATTACATCCATACGGTAACTGGAACCATTAGAAAACCAGGGCTTCTCCTTCTGATGGCCTGAGAGGCATCTCAGGGCCATATGGGTGACTTTATGGTTGCCAGCTCAAGCATCTGGGTCGATCAATTGCACAATTTTTCCATTTCTCCTGGACATTTAGCTTCTCAATCTGCCAAGTATAGCCTAGTAGAAAGAGACAGGAAGTCAAACCACCTCAACCCAAGTTGTAGCTACAAACTAAATGACTTTAGCATCTTTATTTGTAAAATGAGGACTCCCCCACTAAGACTGATAAAACAACTTATCTGCGAACTTACTTCAGTTGCAAGGCAGTATACAAGTGTTAGGGCTTCACCAACACTGACTTAGGTACAAACAATGCTCTTACGACCTTTCTTCTTTAGGTCAGGATTCCCAGCTATGTCTGGAGATGCCAAGGAGGACCCCAGAGCAGTGAAAAGGGAAGGTGGAAGCCTCTTCCTCGGTGGGTACAACCTCCTCTCTCCACTGACCTACCCATAACAATCAAAACTGAATGCAACTGCTTCTGGGACCAGAAGCCCATGGGTACACCTTTACTAAAGAAAGGCAAAAACAAACATGCCAAAACCCTGCTACATTTCAATTAACATCTTTAAGAGTATCACAGGAAAATGCCTCAGATTTGGAGTCAGAGGTCCTTACTTAGCAGCTATGGAAAAGGTCCATAGCTCTGAACTCATTTTTTTCACATGTAAAATAGAGACCACAATGAATGCCCTATTTCAAATGTCTGTTAGAAGATTCCAAAGTGGGGCGCCTGGGCGGCTCAGTAGGTTAAGCGTCTGACTTCAGCTCGGGGCATGATCTCAGGCTCCTGGGATCCGGCTCCTTGCTCAGTGGGGAGCCTGCTTCTCCCTCTTCCTCTGCCCCTCTCCCTGCTTGTGTTCTCTCCCTAATAAATAAATAAATAAATAAATAATAAAAAAAAAGGTTCAAAAGTGAACACGTGTATTTGGTAAACTCACCCAGACCTTTGACATGGATTATCCAAAGAAGGTGGGGAACAACTTAGGGTTCCCTGATTACCTCCTTATTCACTTCCCGACCAACTAGAATAAGAACCTGTGCACATTCTGAAACCCAATAAACAAGGCACTGTCCACTCTCTCAACCTAGCCAGTGATGAACTGCCTCTCGACTTTTTCTATCCTGATATTAATATGCACGTTCCTAAACACACATACAACACTAAACCTCCTCATAATAAACTATTTAGAACCCAGCATCCACTGTAAGAGGGTGAACTCCTATAAGTCTCTCAAGTGGTGGAAAGAGAAAAAGCAGGGTGCATCCCAGTCTAGCCGGGGAGCTGAGTTTAGACCAAGAAAGCTCATCCTTCCCACTTTCGTAAACCTGGCCAAAGAGCTGAGTCAACAGGGCAAAGGAAATACATTCTTGGCTACCTGGAAAAAGAGAGGAGAAATGTGCAGGACTTAAGAGATGAACAGGGAAAAGCCCAGGATGATTTTCCCTAGCTAAGGACAGAAATGACAGCCACTAAGGACACCACACATATGCCAAATAATAACTTTCTACTGGTTTGTGACCAAATTACATATAATCAACTTCATTGACCTTTTATGTTCATAGTTATTAGGTGTCTAAAACCTGCTTTTTAAAAAAGTGCTGCTTCTAGCCAAGGAAAGAGTCAAGGACTAGCTCAGAGAGAAGACCATGGTGTCCATATTTCCTGAATTCAAATCATGACTTGGTCTGGCAGGTTATTTATAAATTCTTTTTGGTGTTGGGCCAAAAGGTTGGCATTCCAGAAACATTTCAACTTCTTATGACTGCATGAGATGGACTATCTGGAATCAGGACTTATACTGAAACATCTAAGAGTACTTAACTTTATCCAGAGCACAAATAGGTTCAAGATCCTTTAGACAAGAGAGGAAAATTTGGCCAATGGGCTCTACCAAAGCAACAGAGTTCAGCCATTGGAAACGTTACTGATAACTGATGACAAAGTCCCAGGAGCCATCACACAGCCAGAATCCTCACCATGGAACCTCATGGACCGCTCTCCTGCTCCTCCTCCCATGCTGCCATTTTGGTTCAGCCATGGGTCATGAAAGGGGATTTTTGAACTGAGAACAGACCCTCCTTTGTTCTGGGCCACCTGTCATGTAAAGATCTCAAACCTCTACAAAAGCAGATTAGCTAAGATTGCATTTATGAAGCAGAAACTGAACAGAGAGGAGGCTAATTATTTCTTGAATGTTAAGCACTGACACAGAATAAATAAAAAGTGAGCCACTCTCCCAGACTTGCAAATCAAAGCTATCTTCTACCTATGACTGCCTCCCTGGGAGTAGTCAGTAGTTCCAGGACCCACACCCTCAAAGCTACCTGGCGGCTGTTAATGAGGGTAAAGTCTCTTTCTTAAACATGCATCTGGTACTTGATCTGGTCACAGCTCTGAAGCCTCTACTTAGCTCGTTTTAAGTAGTAAAGGGAAGCAACTTCAAGAAGAAAATGATCACCCTGACGCTATCATGCCTTAAATTATAATGACAGGACAAACCAAATAGAAAGGTCTACCATACACCAAAACATAAACCACCCCACAGAACATGCTCCTGGAGGTTTAATGTTAATTTATAAACTTGCAATAAGTTTTTGCAGTGCGATGATCATGTCCCCCGGAGTTGTTGGGCGATCCTAACAGTTTAGCCAAAAGATAACACAGGATCTCCTAATCTGGGATGCATTTAAAGAGCAAACAGGTGGTACCTCCTCTCAAACTGGCAGGACGCTAATCATCACAGGTTCATCCCTGAGCTGACCTGTGGCCAAACGTTAGCACTTTAACCCATAAAATGATTCTGTCATGGGGAGAACCTGTTACCTTAAATCTCTGAGGTTGGTGAAACTGAATTGTTGCCCTTTTCTGGTCAAAATCTTTTCTCAGCTGAAGGAAGTGCACCTTGCCATCTTTATTTAAAACCTTCTTTTTCCCGTTGACACAGCGGCAGACATTTACGTCTCTTCCATAGTACATACCCCGGCTGCAGAGACTCTTCAGATCTGACAGTCTGAACAGGGACTGGTAATATGTGGCCACTGCAGGGTCATCTCTCTGAAGGAGAAGGGGCTGCTTCTCCCAGAATTCCCTGAAAAAAGTCTCTGTCTTGATGGGCGAGATTAAGCTTTCAAAGAGATCACCGGGGCTTTCAAAATTCAAAGCGGAGGAGGGTCCGCCAGTTGCCTCCATCTTCAGCTGCTTACAGGGAGCAGATCCCTCTTCCTTCCCTCTCCCCGTGGGCTTTGCTTTCTTCGGCATCCTTCTGTCCTCAGTGAGGAAGCGGACCTACCGGAGAACGAAGCACACACGTGATTAGGTTTACCAGGAGTGCCAGTGTTCATGTCAGCAGATCACGCACACACAGCTTGCGAGGCCAGTAGCCCTTCAGGAGAACTCGGAAGTCAACGCCATCTCCTTCAGGATGTGATCGAGCCTCCAGCCAACACCGCATCTTCCAAGATAGGATTCAGCCTCAACCACCACTCAGATTACATATCCATCTAAAGGAAAGCTTGTTTTTCTTGTACATAAGCCCTAAGTCGTGAAATTCGTTGTTTGTTTCTTAGGAGGTATAATGATCCCAAATGAATGGTTCTGCGATCGTGGCAGTTCCTGGTCACAGTTTTAGCCGGTGGCCGTTGACGCAGAAGTCGAAAATCCTGAATTTGGCGTCAGTCAGCACCAGGTCCCAAACCTAATTAGATGTACTCTTGAGTTACAAACACTCGCCTCAAGAACTACCAACAGGGGCCCACCACCAGTGCTCCTGGGCACAGCACCGCCCCCACAGGCTGTGCAGGAAGGCGGCCAACGTGCCCTGGGCACCTGGTGGCTGGAGCGAGAAGCTGCCTGCTCCCAAGTCTCTTCCTTACCACCTGAACCTCCTCACTTTTGATTCGCAGCTTACTCCTGAAAATAGCCACTTTATCGGAAACCCCCGCCCCCATTTAAAAAAAAAAAAAAAAGAGGCTGCTAAGTAAAAGCCAAAGATAGTTATACCCCATCTTTAAAAAGCTTTAACTTTTAAACTAAAATAAAATACAATAAAATACCAACATCAGGAAGCTCAGACACAGCACTCCCCCCAACCTTAACACGCACGCCCATCACCTGGGCATCTAGATCTGAGGCAGGGCTGAGATTCTGCATTTCTAACAAGCTCCCAGGTAACAATGCTGCTGCTGGTCCCGGGCCCACATCTGAGGAGCGACACTCCCCAGCATCGCTGAGCCTCTCTCAGAACTGCCCCCAAACCACACTACTGCTACACTTACAATGCAGCTGTCCTTCATCTGGGGCTCAAGAATGATATTTCAAATTACATGAATTTCCAGAAACTGCAAGATTCTATTGCAAAGTGTACGTATATCTATAGATTTGGGGGGTAGGCACATTGCTCTCACTCGATTCTTAAAGGAGTCCCTGGCCCCCCCAAAAAGGCTAAGAACCATTATGCTTATAAAAACCTATTTGTCCCAGAGTCCAGTAACTAATAGATGTTATGGTTTTGTTTTGTAGGGCTAGCAGGACTGTAAGAACACGGTTTTCTGCTCTTTTGTTATTATAACTAAGGTGTATTTCAGCTACACAGTGGACTAAGTAGAATTAGTGGTCTGGCCTGGCAAGAAAGTACCCTGGAATACGTGTTACACACTGCAACAACTAATTTATAAATGAATGCAACCCAAATGTAAATTGAACAATTTAGGAAGTGGAAACATCAAAATATACAACTCTAGTGGCCTCATTTTAGCTTCTAAACTTTGTACCCATGAACAGCTCAGATCAAGTGCCTTTGATAGGAAAACACAGGACTGAGGTGGAAAACGAATACAAATCAACACCAAAAGCTTGCATTGGAGGAGTAAGGGCTTAAGCTTAGGAAGAAAAAAAAAAAAAATTTCGGTGTTTTAGGATATGTCATCCATAAGTCACATTTTCTGAAAATGTTCCCTATTCCTCTTAAATTCCCAGACCAGTTTGATTTCTCAACTAAAGAATCAAGGCTTCAGTGAGACAAAGTATTGCCAATACTTGGAACCCAGATGCGGTGTAGAAACAAGGAGACATGAAGAGATTCAGTAAAGAGCACAGCTAGTGCAGAAGAGGCCTATCCTTCGAAAGGCCCCGTGTATGGCTATTGTCTGAGAACTTAGATTTCAGGAGCCTTCCCACCACCTTTAACGGAGAAGAGTGACTCACTGTGCCTAAATTTTTTGTGCACTGTGGTTTATAATGAACACCTGTTTTCCTTCTGGGAGTCTGGAATTTTGGTTGGGGCTTGGTGCCAGGCAGAGGATGCCTACGTGGTCAGCCCCCAGTAAAAACCCTGAGTTCTGAAGTGTCTGATGAGCTTCCCTGGTTGGCAACATTTCACACGTATTGTCCCAACTAGTTGCTGGGCCAATTAAGCACCTAGTCTATTGTTATAATAAATCAGCTGTGAGTCCCAGCAAATCACTGAACCTAGGGATGGTCTTAGAGACCCCCAACACATTGCTCCCAATTTTGAAAAAGTGTTAAATTGGTTCAGAAGGTTTGTATTATTAAGGTACTCTATAATGAAAAAGTAATTTCATATTAAGCCATACATCTCTTCTCTCTCACAACTGGTCAGTTTAAAATTTATTTAAGGGATGTGGACAGCAGGAAGATGCCAATGAAAGGCTTTTCTTTAAGCACAATTTATAAATACAGTATGAGCACATTCACCAGGAAGTGTGGTTAAACAAAGTGCACAAAATACGTAAGCCAAAAATAAAATCACTTAAAGCATTTTTCCCATCTACAATAACTAATAAAATAAACCCAGCACTGCATAACAAATGCTTTTGTTAGAATATAAATTTCATTACTTATACTGCCAAAAGTTACATCCTTTCTTGTTTCTCTACATTCATATTGAAATTATTTGAGGCTCGGGCGCCTGGGTGGCTCAGTTGGTTAAGCGACTGCCTT